AGTATTGTTGTCGCCGCCGCCATGTCGTGAAGACGCTGTGTGTTTTGTTGTGAAAGCGAAACTACTTAGTTTGGCCTTCCAAAAGCGGACAGACGATATTTGCTTCGTCATGCCTAGAACTGAGCCGTGCTGGTCGCTGAGGGTATACATCAACTTTGCTCTGTGGATCACCCTTCACCATGGACAAAGCGGAGTCCAGCCTGGGGTCGTCACATGTGGTTGCTGCAAGCTCCTTCGTCGATTCTGCTGGCCGCGCAGTTCTCTAGCCCGCCGTGTGTGAAGCTGTGTTTCGTTGTGAAAGCGAAACTTTGTTTGGCCTTTCAAAAGAGGACACGACTAGAAATCAGTGGTTACGTTGTATTTACAACACTGTTCCGATGAGCTTTGTAAAAATCTACGTGTTTCAGGAAGGCGGGGCATAAAGGAACATTTAATTACACCAAATACACAAAATAATGTTCTTTTTAGCAGCATCATATGACCCCTTTAAAATATATTTTGAATGTGGGTAACCAAAGAGTTTCTGGTCCTCCTTGGCATCCATAGTACTTGTCACAAATTCGAATTTTTTTTTATGCTGGAGAAGCTGCGTAGGAATTTTATAACACTGCTTTTTCCCAAGAAAATCAACCCTTGTGAAAATCCTGGTCTGTTACAAGTGATTTTAAATTGGTAAATTGCAACAGTTTCACAGCACTTGTTTTGAATGGCAAGTAATATTTCACAAGAAAATGTGTGCTTTCACTTTGACATCTTTGCAATTATGAACTCTTGCTCTGGTTAAACTAAAATTAATGAACACCGCTTCAATGACTATTTGCATTGGCAAAAACAAAACAGTGGAATGTGAAACGCTCCATTTACTAGGACTGCACACATTTTGTTCGGAATCAAAATATTGTATCAACAGTAACTTGGTTCTTTGAAAAACTCTCTAAACATGCCCTGTACAATAAATCTATAGTTTGACCTTGGACAAACACGAAGAGCTTTCAGAATTTATATAACACATTCATGCTTTATTATGTATCAAACCTTAGAACCAGAGAAAATGATTCCCAGTCCTATTCGGAGAATAGTAGCTCTCTTACAGTCTCTTAATTTAATCATCACATTCATCCTCACTGTCATCTTTTTCCTTTGGTGGAGCTACAGGTGGAAGATCTAGTCGGGCCCATGACATTGGTTCTGCCTTCTTCAACACAACCTCAATTTTGGTAGCCATCATGTTCACCAAACTTTTACTTGCATCGATAACCTAAAGGAAAAGCAAATGGAAAAAGTCTTAGAATAATTACATTGGATGCATTATTTGGTGCTGAAGTTTCTTTTAAAGCAATAAGCCTCAAAAGCTGTGATTTACACTAATTTAAGAACAGCTAAGTGGTGTTTTTAGGAATGACGTGGAGTGTAAAGCCCCTAGGACTGGAACTATCCACATTAAAATATTAAATGCTGTAATATTAAAATACATTCTCCTACCCAATTTAATAAGTAGATACAACTTTGGTAAAATTAGTGTCACATATGTATACGCTTCAGCTTTAATGAAAGTTTTATATAAGTACTTTAAAAGTTTATACTTACCCCCCACAAACTGATCTGCTGTTCAAATTCTTTCTCTCCTTCAAATATAATATGGATTTTAAGCTGCAAGAATAAAATACATTTTAAATTAGCGCTATGCAAAATCTTGCAAATAAATGTAAAATTATACAGTAAAATATTGAGCACAGGAGTTAGTAGTTAGAAAGTCTCATAGGTGTGATTTTTTTTATTTTATGTAATGTCAGCATAAAATCCAACAGAAATGACCTTGGTGCCTTACCACAGTGCTGTTCCCCTCCACTAAGCTCAGCTCTGGTACTGAATTTTTGGAATAAATGGAAATGATGACCTGACTTCCTGTTTGGTGCCAATCAAACCTGCATGGCACAACCTTCTTTCCCTATGTACACATAAAAAAAATGGCATCCTTTGCTGTATTCAACATTATGGCCTTCAACAAATTATTTGTTCTTTTGGAGCTTGGATATGGGCCTGCAAAAGGCCAGATGCTCTAAAAAAATTTATTGGACAGGATGTGAAAAAAAAAAAAAAAAATCCAATTAAAGTATTCCCTATGTACACATAAAAAAAATGGCATCCTTTGCTGTATTCAACATTATGGCCTTCAACAAATTATTTGTTCTTTTGGAGCTTGGATATGGGCCTGCAAAAGGCCAGATGCTCTAAAAAAATTTATTGGACAGGATGTGAAAAAAAAAAAAAAAAATCCAATTAAAGTAATATAGTGCTTTGACTTTTAAATCTCAGGGTAGACACTTACGGTATCTTTTTTCTTCCACTGATGCTTTCCTCGGGTACAGCCCTCCAGAGACAGAAACGTGTTGAAGTCTGAGGTTTTCCTCTTACAGCAGCTCCAATATTTCATCCTTTTATGAGGAAGGATAAAAAGAGGACTTAATTGTGGAGTCCACGGATAGATCTGAAATTTCTCCATTTACACTTTTCTAGTACTTTTTAGTAGTAGTATTCAGTTTTGATCTGGCGCTAATTTACCCTTCATGGAAGATGGGTACACCAGAATGATACAAACATGTCTCTTCATCACCGTCTGGTCCGTTGAACATCTGAAAAACAGAATAATGAGAATCCATTGTTTATAATGAACTAAAGAAACTCAACGTGCCATGAATTCTAATCGGAGAAGCAGGCAGAGAGAACAGTACCTTACTGCAGCCTCCATTCTTACAGGACGTCCCTATCTTAATTTCATCACTATCCTCCTCTATAATACAAGAAAGAGAATAAAATGCATCAGAATAAAAGCCAAATATAGAAAGGTGGGGAAAAGGATGGTCGGGCTATTCTTACCCTTTATCTCCTGTGCATTTTCCTCAGTTAATTGAAGCTTTTCTAAAGCCTGTTTGAGCGAAGGAGAGATCTTCTGCTGTAGAATGGAGAAAGGCTCATCTGGACTACAAAGACAATTAAAAACAGCTTTTTTCAGTCATTTACCCTTAAGAGGTTGTAACATCAATGTGGGTTTTGGCTGGGTGAACTGTTAATGAGAAGAACTTGTTCTCTATAGTAGATTTAATGCTGCATTACTTTATCTTCTGAACATCTGAACTAATGAGCCAGAAAATACAAATAGGGAAGACCCCGTCCTCTTCAAGTGTGCTTTTACCTTGGTCGCTGAATAGACTCTAGAGGTTTTGCTGCTTGGGTGATGCATTCATTAAACTTTGGTTTTACATCATTCACACTCATGTCCACAGAGGACTTCACTTCTGGTTTAACCGGCTCAGAGGGCTTCTCCTGATTATGAGGGCCTTTCGTGCAACCCTAAAAGACTCATAAAAACTGTTTTAAGACTCCAGCCACAACTCTATCTACGAAAACGCTCATTCAGTCTCATCACAGGCGAGCACTCACAGCAATACTGAGGAAATCCGAAAAGTCAGTTGTTCGTCTCTTGCAGCAAGACCAACCCTGGGAAGCAATGACAGACACAATTGAATGGGTTTAACTCTGACTAACAACAATGGAATGGTTAAATTTCACATTAATAAGTAAACTGATCTTCTTGCATGTCCATACCTTCAATGCATCATGAAACACTGGCACTCCGGGGTGGTATGTGCATGCGTCTATGGATGAGAAGAGATTGATAGCGTGAAATGTGACGTCAGAAGAATATTCTGACGTCTACTCCAACAACTACCATCTGTAAACTTAATAATAATTTACTAATTCGGAGCTATTGATTAAGCATCATTCAAACGTTAATGACCAGCAATGTAGATGCCTCCCTAAATTAACATACTAAATGACTTTTAAATAAAATTAATACGTGACTCTTGAGAGGTGGTCGTGTTTCGGTAATACTACATGTAACGTATATCAAAAAATCTTATTAAAGCTAAAAGGTTTTCTTTCTGCATTTATCCGGCTATCTACCATAGCAATCCGGCTATCGTTTGCTTGTTAAGTCTTACCATCTGAATTCTTGTCGGGATCAAAACGTTGTCCACATCCCTTATTATAACACAGTACAGACATAATGTATGACAGAAATTAAAACGTATATTGTACAACGTGGTCAAGAGGGAATGATCCGAAGTCTTGACTAGCTTGCTGCTGCTGCTGCTTCCCGTCGTGAGGTCCCTCCCTTCCGGAATCTTTCGAGAATTTCCGTAAATTATCGTGCAGCACTTCGGCTCCAATCGTCTATTTTCGGAATGTCTCGGAATTAGTTGGAATGATGGGATCACAGAGTGAGAGATGGGATGCACCACCTAACGGAGTTGTGAATTAAAAACACAGACAAGGCAGTGCATGAAAATAAGCCCTGTTCAATTCTATTTCACGCCGTCACATAATTTTTTTTCCCCGAAGAAAATATCTAATTATCGTGAATATGTTATTTTTTATGTTGCAATAATCCTAAATGCGTTTTGAACGATATTCTAAAGAACACCAGTATTGTTTTGCGCGCTCTATTTAGCGTAATTACATGTATCTAATTGTCTAATGTTTGTGTGAGATAAGGTTTAGATCATTTTGTTGCTATGGGACAGCAGCAACAACACCGGTTTCGTTTGCGCATTCACGGGATAACGTGCACTCGTGAGCGCGCTTTAGAGGTGCGCGCTCCGCTGATTACAGTCAACTGTGAGTGGCACTGAGTCCTGTATGGCAACGAAGTGAAGGATGTAGTTTCACACAGCGGGCTCTTGGATGTCTGCAGAGCAGAGATTTATTTCTCCTTAAGCCAGAGGTAAGAGCTCATTCACATATTTTGATGCACTAATTATCGGAGAACAAGTGACTGCTCGGTCTCAGTAACAAACATCTTTTACTAGAGTCCAAAGCGTTGAAAGTTTCCTTTGATTACAATCGCATTTTAATATAGACTCGTGCTTTCATAAAAGAGAGTCGGTTTTGTTTGACATGATCAAAGTTATTTGCTTCAAATGCAAAACAAAAATATAATGCGAAACTATAGGTTATGTGTCATTTATTCACATTTTCTCTTATTGCGCTTTACTTTCAAGAACATTTGAATATTATTTCAATATTATTTGTTTTGCCTGTATGTCACATATATAGCCTATGGCTATTAACCCTCATTTTTTTTTGCTGTTATCAATCTTGCAGTGAGATTACCATCTAACTCGCTTGTCAGTGTTTTGTGAAAGGGTATTACTGAGTCCATTGAGAACAGGGTCAGGTATTTATTTATTTTTTGACAATTTAATCCAAACCAAGGGCTTCTTAATAAATAACTGCCTTCACATTTATGTGAGCAATAGGATATGTCTTTGTGAGATGAATACTCTAGATTGAAATGGTTTACTGCATATATCTCTCTTTTGCAGGATAACTGGATGATGGCATGGCTATAAACAGCTGCCCTGGGGGGAGTATGAGGATCTGTCTCACTAGTTTCTCCTTATTGCTCCTCCACCTACTTCCTTGTTTGGGACAGCTGCAGGAGCCAGGGTCCTCATCCTTTCAATTTACCGCCTCCATCTACAATGCCACCATTTATGAGAACTCTGCAGCTCGGACATACATTAGGACTGAGGTTAAAATGGGGATTCCACTATCTAAGTTTGGTCCTTTGGATATTAAATATTCCATTGAATCTGGAGATGATGAGGGGCTGTTTCAGGCTGAGGAATTTGTGTTGGGGGACTTTTGCTTTCTTCGCATACAGACTAATGGTGGGAGCGCTGCCATCCTGAACCGCGAAGTGCAGAATAATTATACATTAACGGTGAGGGCTACTGGCCTAGGTGGGCTGGAGGCTTACGTGACAGTTAATGTGCAAATTATGGACATGAATGACCTCCGACCTTTGTTCTCGCCCACTTCCTATGCCATTGATATTTCAGAAAGTTCTCCGCTGGGAGCAAGTGTGGCTCAGGTGACTGCCACTGATGCAGATATCGGCTCCAATGGCGAGTTTTACTATTTCTTTAGAGGAGACGTGGAGGAGTTTGCTGTCCACCCAACCAGTGGGGTGGTATCACTCACAGCCAAGCTAAATGCAGATAAGAACAGCAGATTTGACCTTGAGGTTTTAGCAGTGGATCGTGGAATGAAGGCTTATGGGAACAGTGGTATTAGCAGTAAAGCCAAATTAGTGATCAGTGTTGTGCGTATCAATGAGTTCGCTCCAACACTGACTGCAGTCGCACGTTACCCTTTAATATCAGACAAAGAGCCAGTTTACGCCACTGTTACTGTAGAAGATTTGGACGAGGGACCCAATGGAGAAATCGAATGGGTTGCCATCATTGCAGGTGACCCACAGGAGCAGTTTGTCTTTGACAGAGCGCCACTTGGAAATGAATACAAGCTGAAGATGTCTGAACCAGTCAACTGGGATAAATTTCCTTATGGTTGCAATCTCACTTTTCAAGCCAAAGACCGTGGAACACCACCAAGACTCTCCAACACTCAGTCTGTTCAGCTCTTAGTGAAAAAAACACAGTCTGTGCAGGTGAGTTTCGACAAAAAAATGTACAAAACCTCAATTATTGAGATTGCACCACCAGGGACCATAATAGAGACTGCGAGGATATCTCCAAGACCGCCAGTCGTCAGCTATGCTCTAAGCCTGACCTCAGATTCAATTTATTTTATCATTAATCCACTCACTGGTGTCATCTCAACAGCACAACAGTTTACCACATTAAAACAGGAGCTCTTCAATTTAGAGGTGATGGAGACAGTAAGTGGCATGACAGCAAAGGTGCAAATCACGGTCGAGGATGCTAACAACAACTACCCAGTGTTTATCAGCACATCTTACAAAGTCTCTATCAATGAGAGCATCCTCATTGGCACTGTCATTCTCACTATATCAGCGGTGGATGATGATAAAGGTGATAATGGGTGCATAACATACAGCATAGCTAGCCTTCAGCCCCTTCCGTTTATCATTAACCAAAATACTGGAGAGCTGACGACATTCAAAGAACTGGATTTTGAATCGTCTTTGGAGACATATGTGTTCGCTGTCCGAGCCTCAGACTGGGGATCGCCTTACAGACGAGAAAGTGAAGTCAATGTCACGGTACAAGTGTTGAACATTAATGACAACCAACCTCTTTTTGAGCGTGTGTCATGTAAAGGTACGATAGGATGCGATTTTCCTGTAGGTCAGACGATCATCATAATGTCTGCCATTGATATCGATGAGCTTGGGTTGGTTAAATATAAGATTCTGTCTGGAAATGAGCAAGATGTCTTCACTCTTAACCCGGACTCGGGGATGTTGTCATTAAAAAGACCCCTCTCCTCAATGAGTGTAAAGAATGAACAGTTCAGCTTGAAAATAGCTGCGTCAGATGGCGAGCTGCTCTCCGCACCCACCTTTGTAAATATATCAGTGGTCAGAGGCAGAATGCCAGCAAGAAGTTTCAATTGTCGAGACACAAAAGTTGCACAGAAGTTAGCTGAGAAACTACTGAAAAGAGCCACTGCCATTAGCAAATCCAAAGTGGAGGAAGGCTACACAGATCTATTTTCTGTCAACAGACAGACGCCTCAGTTCGAATCCTTTCCGTCCGACATTGTAGTTCGTGAGGACATGCCCGTGGGAGCCAGTGTCCTTCAAGTGAACACAAATGACGGTGACACAGGCTTCAATGGTCGCATTCTGCATGCCATATCAGATGGGAACATTGACAGCTGCTTCAATATTGGCATGGAAAGCGGCCTAATATACATCTATCAGCCACTGGACCGTGAACAATCAGATCGGTACCTTCTCAACATAACTATCTATGACTTCGGTGTTCCACAGAGATCCAGCTGGAGATTGCTGACAGTTAACATTGATGATGTGAATGATAATAGCCCAAAATTCTCCCTCGAGAGCTATACTGCCATTATACCAGAGAATGCAGCTATCGGCACGGAAGTGATCAAAGTCACAGCCTCGGATGAAGATCTCGGTCAGAACGGTGAAATCTCATACACCTTGTTAACAAACACCCCTTTATTTGCCATTACCAGCGAGACCGGCTCTGTTTACGTGTCTAGTCTGTTGGACAGGGAGTCCGTCTCAGATTTCACCCTCAAAATTCAGGTTAGGGATAAGGCAGAAAGAGGGAATCAGATGTTTTCGGAGACAACACTGAAAGTCTACCTCGAGGATGTAAATGACTGTGCCCCTATGTTTATTCCCAGGAGCTACAGTTGCCATGTGTTGGAGGACCTTCCTATAGGTGCAGTTATAGCTTGGCTGCAAACGCAAGATCCTGACATTGGATCTGCAGGATGGGTGAGATACTCCCTGCCCAATGATTTCAATGAAACATTTAAGATCCATCCTGAAAGTGGTGCCATTAAAGTGGCCAAAGACCTGGACTATGAGAAGCAACAATTTTACAATCTCTCAGTGGTGGCAGAGGACTTGGGTTTTCCAGTCAAGCTTCGCTCTGAGTCTTATCTTGAAGTGGAAGTCATTGACGTCAATGAGAACCTCAACGAGCCGTATTTCTCAGAATTCGCAGTGAGGGGCACTGTGAAGGAAAACTCTCGGCATGGAACAAGTGTCCTCCAGGTGACTGCTCAAGATGATGACAAGGGCAGAGATGGAGTGATCAGATACTCTATCAAAGCTAGAAGTGGTCTTGGAAGGTTCTCCATTGATGAAGAAACAGGTATATATTGTTTGATTCTTTATGTGTCTTTTGGTTGTGCTGTCTGCTATTCTTTGTCTTTTTTGAAGACTAACCAGTCCCGAGTTGATGCTTGCACAATAAAACAAAACCTGTGAAAATGGTTGTGAATTTATGCCCTAACATTTTACTGCAGTGTGCTGACTGAATGGTATTAAAAGGTCACAGTGACGTTATTTCTCTTGGCAATGAATTTGTGCTCTGAGTCTACAATTGCCGCCACTGGAGAAGACCACTGACCTAGAAAGGTAGGACTTGACCTCTGTCTGGTTTGAAACAGTGTTCTTCTGTGATTTTCACAGTCTGTGATTTTCAGAATCTGTGAGATCTGGCATTTGCTGTGAGAACTGATATTTGCAACACTGAAGAAGAAAAATGCTTAGTTGCTTAGTTACGACTTGTTATGTGGTGCCAGCTTCACTATTAATTACAACTAATGACTATTGATTAGAGAACTACAACGGGCAGTAGGATGTAACGGTGGTCCTCCATTCACATGTCAGCTAATTAGGCTGAGCCTGTTAATCAGGCCCCTGTTTAAAGCAGTGGCGGCTCGTCGGGGGAGGCAGGGGAGGCACAGCTTCCCCATAATTTTGAGGTGAAAATGGGAGGAGGACGATTTAATGTTAATAAAATTCACAATTAATTTCAGTTCATGTCTCAGAATGTGTATTTTTTGTTTGTAATTTCACAGTTGTAATATCATAACGTGAAAGCGCCGGTTTTCTATCGCGAATGTGCCGAATCTGCTGATGTAATTACAACCGCTAATGATAGAGAAGGGAGGGGGAGGCCGAGCGAGCGCTGAGCTCTCGTGCCTCCGTTGGTAAAAAAAAATAGCCAATCAGCATCGAGTGTTCACTTTCAGCGCTGAGGAGTGTTGAGAAAAGAACCCTCGCAAGGGAGGCTAGCCTCCTTCTGATATCAACCAATCATCACAGAGACGTAAATTACCTGATATTAGTTTGAACGTCTGCCGCTGCGCTGATAATGTACCAAGTACTTATGATGAGTAGCGACATTGAATATTTGATTGCCAACAGATTTACCAAGCTGTCATTCAAACAGTATATATACAAATTTAGGGAAAACAGCCTAAGCTGGATATAGGCTACAGCAGTCGGCTTAATTAAATGGTGCAACAGGCAGCTCTCTTTTAACACAGACTTTTAAGAAGGGATGGATGTTTGCTTCAAGTGATAGGCCAGGTAAGTGAAGTTATATTATCTTGCTGTATGTATGTCGTTTTCTTTACGTTTTCTGACTAAAAGCAACCAAAAAGCCATTTTAAAGTGGTTAAGCAAATAATATAATAATAATAATCGGCAGGGATCCCAGACCAATACAATTAGTGTGCCTCCTTTATTTTAAAACCCACGAACCGCCACTGGTTTAAAGTAAGCAAGTGGTGCACGCTTGTGCCAGAACCTCAAATGAGCATGGATTTTCCACAGAGAATTGAATGCCCTACCAGCAGCAAAATACAAGTTGTAGGGGAAGCGGATACATGAGAACAAGAGTTGTCTTTCATCTTCAAAGTAAAACCTCTGGGACAAGTAAGGACAGTGGCATTGGCTCAGCACGCCCACTACATATTCGCCTACCGAGATCCATTTAGCTGTCATGTTGCCTGGTGTGTTATGAGTCCTTGTCGTTGTCACTGGACTTTTGAGATGATTGAAAGTGGGCAGTTCATGCAATAGACATCCAAACAAGCGGAAATCAAAACCACTTGATCTCAGCTACCAGTTGTGACGTGTTGGGTTGAAGTTGTGTGTATGTAAAGTGATTCCTATATATGAAGTCTCATTGCTCAGATGCAAGTGTGAACTAAAAAGGCTGGTGGGATTTATGAAGGCCTTATCGGCAGAGCACTCTGCTGCTTTGAGCAGGCATTGGTATTCCTGCCCACGCTTTGGGAAATAAATCAGAGTGCACTCGCACTCAGATGCCTGTCGAGAAACAAGTTCAGCTCTAATTTGCCTCTGAGATTTGGCCTCTTTTTCTCCAGAGTCAGGTTAAGTCCTTTATGTCAAAATCTCTCAGACACCTATGTAAAGGGCTGCTTGTGCTTCACATCCCCACACACTGCACAAAACTGATGTATTCTGTTTTTCTTTTTGAAAGATAACATATTTTTGGAGCATAAGGGAGTTGAGGATCTTTACCACAAGCCCACTTCCTCTTGTAGACTTCTTGAACTTTGATTGTAATTCAGGGGAGATATCAAGGGTTTTCCTATTGATGCCTGCATGGCATACAGAGGAAACTTCTCTCAGACCGTAACAAAGATGCAGATTTGGAGTAGAATGAAAGAGACAGGGAAAAGATTTATGCTGAAAGAGAAAAATGCCTTTTCAGCATGTTTAGGTGCAATGCCTGTGAACTCAAGGCCTGTGATAATTCAAGATGCCTGGCATAAAAAGAACTGCCCTTGATCTTGTTTGCAGACATGAAGGATGAGTTGATGGCTTAGTTCTGCTTGATTATGTTCTAAATTCAGGACAAACTATGAATATTTGATTGTTTACATCTTAAAATATGAATTACAATTTTTCTCAAGGAATTTGAAATTAAAATGGTGACACCAAATGTTAAGAATATTATGAAGTTGCATTATGGCTACCATTTCACTTGCAGCAAAACATCTGCTATTAAACTAAATAGCACGCGTGTCAATGTGACTTGAATTTGAAATGGTTATTTTCTCTAATTTGCAAGTTCTTAGAGGATAATTGGGGCCTCTTTGTGATATTGCTAACCACAAAACACATTATCATCCTTTTAAGTCTGTTGCAGTTGAAGGACACCGCACCGATTTTCTGCCTTCTAGCTCCATAAGCAGTCCTTGATGTTTATAATACACACCTGTTGGTTGACTCTCATGAATAATGATAAATGCTAAAAGCAATGGCTTGTAAAGCTAAAGACGCAGATGGATTTAGTGCTGCTTTCAATGACATGATCAGTGGTTTGAGATTCACAATCAGCTGAAAGCCAATTGTAGCATGTCAAATCGTTTGCATTGCTCTAGTCCCTTTCGCGACAGCAAATTAGTTTCTCATGTTCAAATGCTTTGCAAAATCAGGCACTTAGTGTAAATCTGTGTCTCTTTAATTTGAGCTGGGACAGGCCTCGTGTTTTGTAGAATTTCTGAGCCTCAGCGTCAGAACCTGTGGGACTCCATCAAAACAACCTCAGCTTCAAAGCTAGGATTTTTGAATCAAAACTGTGGAAAACATGTCTGAGTCTGTAGAGTCCTGTTCCAGACAGCATTGAAACCTTGTCTCTTTTTTATACGATCTGTCATATTTCCGACACGACTGATGTGGTTTCTCAGTATATGAATGTATGTAGAGTGCTGTATTCTCAATGTGATCATAATTGCTTGTGTGACCAATACTTTTACAGCAGTTTGGCATAAAGGTTTTTTTTATATGATGAAAGTGTGTAATGTGATATTGATGACATCAATTAACTTTTTGTTTCAGCACTGAGGTTATATAGTTATCTCATGTATGGGTTTAAAAAGAGAACTTCATACATTTTTAACATCTTGGCGAATTTCAAAGGTTGTTTACTCCTGGAAAACTCTATGGCAATATAACAAAGAGTGAAAAATTTAAGGGGGTCTGAATACTTTCCGTACCCACTGTATGTTTTCTGTATTCCCTGAGTTGCAAGACGTGAATGTAATAAGAGTACTTTTGGCCGCATTTCAGACTGAATTGCACCCCAATTTACTCCTATTGCAGTATAAAAAAAATCCAGCATGTTTAAAAGCAGAAGAAACGGCTCATTAGTGAACCTTCTCTCCATCCGTCAAATTCAATTTATCTGGAACTATCTAGATTAATTGGTACACTTTTCATTTAACCCTCATTTTCTGTTTGGGTCTGAAAGGCTCCTATTTTTAGCTCAAATTGCTTATCATTTAAGTGCCAGGTTGATACGTGTTGACTTTTGCTAATCTTATGAGAACTGATCATAAAGAAACCTTTCAGCTTGATAACCTGCTTCAAATGGACCAATCTTATTTAGTGCATATCTGAAAGTCTTTATGTCTTAACGTTATTTATGACCTAAATTAAAGGTTTAATCATTTATTTCTGCTTGATTAGTCATAGGAAGACTGGAGGGATCGAAGACCGAAAAAGAGGTTAATTTCATTTAAATGTATTATTTTTACATGTAGCCTACATGTTTAGGAATTCTGTGACTTTAGACATACAGTAATACTGTTAGAATTTAGAGTTGCAAATTCACATACTGCTCTTAATATTTCTCATATACATCTCATATATATTGTATGATATTGTATAATGCATGTTATATAATTTGAGGTTTTCACACAAAAATCCAAAATCAGGTTTCTTTTTCAGGTTTCTAATTTAGTATAAATAAAGTAAGAATTAGATTGTATTGACACATGAGCAGCTGGCAAATGAGAGGTCTGCAACAAGATCATGTAAACACAAAAACAGTTTGCTGTGTTTTGAATGGTTTGATAAGAGTGCTGCAGGGGTGACATTTTATGTAAGCCAAAACCTAGAAATTAGTTAGCATTTCAGCACTTCCAATTCCATCGTCCTGAAGGGATTTTTCAATGGGTTTATGCTTAAATGCCAGAAATAAGGTCTGTGGTTGCACAAGCTCAAGTTATTTCAACATTCTATTCTATGACTTAAAATACAAGTTTTTAAGGCACACTGGCATACACTCTAAAAATTGCGGGGTTAAAAATAACCCAATTGGCAACCCAGCGCTGGGTAAATATTGGACAGAACACATGCTGAGTTAAAGTAACCCAGCATGCTGGTTTACACATTTTAACCCAGCAGGCTTGGTTGTTGAGAAAACCCAAGATATAGTAATTTTTACCATTTATGTGTTTGCATTTATGTGTTGCTGGGCTATTCTCATTATTTTGCCTATGCTTAAGACAATCATGGATTAATAAATAATGACGAATACAGGTTATT